ATGTCAGGAAGAAAAGGAAACTGCTGAAATATAGTAATGTTACTCATGAAGAAATTTTAGCTTTTATTGGTTTAACTATTTCTATGGGTATAACTCGTTTTCCATCTATTTCAGATTACTGGTCTACCACTCCTTCCCTTCAGTTTCCCTGGTTTTCTTCAATATTTTCCAGAGAAAAATTCATAACTATTGCTCGCTTCTTTCATTTTAATGACAATACTAATAATCCACCTAAAACTGATCCTAAGCATGATAAACTCTTCAGGGTCAGACCTGTGCTTGATCATCTACTAACAGCTTTTACAGCTCATTATAACCCTTATAGAGAACTTTCTATTGATGAGCAAATGTTGGGAACAAAAGGCAGAATTTCTTTCAAGCAGTATCTACCTAGCAAGCCTACCAAGTGGGGAATCAAGCTTTGGGTTCTGGCAGAAGCCGTGACTGGACTCTGTTTAAATTTTAGAATATACTCTGGTAAAGAGGGATCTGCACCTTCCAAAGGCTCTCTCTTTTTACTGCTAACTTTTGTACTTCCCCAACTCTGTATGATAAGTTGTTTTCACTTGGTACTTATGCTTATGGCACTTGTAGGAAGGACAGGGCCCACTTCCCAGACATGTTTCCAGGTAACTTAAAAAGGGGAGAGTCATAGTTTTTCAACTGTGGCTCAATGACTGCTGTAAAGTGGACTGATAAAAGAGATGTTCATGCTCTTTCTACAATGCATAATGCTACAGTAAAAGAAGTGACAAGAAGACAGGGTGACATGATTAGAAGCCACAGCTAATCTTGGATTACAACAAGTTTATGGGAGGGGTTAACCTTAATGATCAATTTCTTAGCGATTATTCCATTCCATGTAAAACTGTCAAATGGTATAAGAAACTTTTCTTTAGACTTGTTGACCTGTCAATTGTTAGTTCTTTTATTCTTTTCAAACAGGTAACTAAAAATAGCAAGTACAAACAGAAGGACTTCCATTTACAATTATTGGAATCTCTTGTGAAACCTCTAATTGAAAGTAGAGGAGGGCTTTTTGTTTGTCAAGTATCCATTCACCAGTTCTGGTAGATGCACAGGAACGGCGCTCACCTTGGAAGCATTTTCCAGCATTTGCTGAAGAAAAAAAAGGTGCAGATTGTGCCTCCACACAGGTTTAATTAAGTTGACTTGTAAACAGTGCAAGGTTCATCTCTGTGTAAGGCACTTTGAAGACTCTTCAAAGAAGTTAACTTTTCTTTCTACCATATCTAGTCAACATATTATGATTAGAAAGAAAAGTAAAACTCAATCTGATTCCTTTTATTTCCTTCTTTCACTTTCTTAAAATCTAAAATTTCTTTAGTAGAGGTTTAGTTTATAACACTTTTTTTTGCTTTTTTTTTTTTTTACACCATCACTCAGCATTTCCATTTAGGTATTTCCACTTGTTTTAAATGCAATTCTATTTGTGATTAGTGTTCTAAAACTCATTGCACATATTAGCCATAAAAAATTAAAATATTTCAACAAAGACTTTTGCAAGAGCACACAAATTATGTTTTTTGTCTATATCGAACTGTATTTATTATACATTACTGTGCTCAGTTTTATTAGTTTTATCATATTTTGTGTTTTAGTTTCTGCTCAAGAATTATGTATAAAATTTTCAATATTTCATTAAATAATGTACAACTTGGATTATTCATCTTCAGACAATTGTTTGGTAACAGTGTTTAGCTTATTTTTGCGTTTGTATAAACATGTATAAAGTCTTCAGTGTACATCAATAGTGAACAAATGTACAGTTTGTATATTCTTGATATATAAACTGATGTGAATATAATATCTCAGTGTAGCTTTCACTGCATTTTTATTTTTGCATCTAAATATGATTTGCATACAACTGTACGTTTACTTCTCAGTGCATAACTTATAAATTTGATATTGTTTATCCATACATTGATGCTCCTTTTGTATGTATGTTATCTTGATTTGTAACTTATGTATAAAATTTATGTAATTTAACTTTAATGTTTAAATCTTTTGCAAAATATCAGAATAAAATATTTATATATCAGTTGGTATGTTTTAATTATAGAACAACAGAAGTGGGGGTTTTACTATATATTGACAGTAAGAAAGAAATTATAAAATTCTTACGATAAGCCTAAAACTATCAAAGTAGTACGTACAAATGACACAAAGTTATCCTTATAAATACTAAATCATTTTTATTATAAACAAAATTATTGAACTTAAAACTGAGAATTTAAATACAAAAGAATATCAAAAATCACAAACTCTTTCAGATCAAAGTCATAAGCCTACTTCATGTAATGACCTTGCACTCGTTACTCAATAGCTCTTAACACTAACAATCGTGGATCAACTTTTCCTAAAAAATATATTGTTACGTCTCCGTTTGTTAATTAACTTTCCGCAACTTCGTTCCGACGAAACTTAAGCGACACAAGTCTTTACTTAATAAAACTGATTTATTCTTTCCGAATATAACTTTACCGATACACTCAACTTCAACAATCGCACTAAAACAAACGCTAATCAACGAACGTCAACAATACTTCTGACTGCAGTTCAATTACTCACTATCTTCACACACACACATTACAATCTCGCGTCACGTTGTCCCCCTCTTATATATACCCGCCTACCCCATCTAGCAAACACTAGAGCATTCATGAAGAAACAAGATAGTTCTAGAAACTAGAGGGCGCCACAGCAGTCATGTGACTCGCTGACGCAACAATATCTATTTTGAGATAATTTTTCAATATAATGATTAATATAAATAAATATACGATGCAACATGACTTAAGCTACTATATAAAAATAATAAAAGTCATTTACATACCATGCATTTTTTTCCAGAAGCAAGTTTTCTAACGCTTATAGAAAAGCACTATTGGCCAGTACTAAATACAACCTCTAGATAAAATGGCAGTTACTATAATAAGCACCACCCACATTCATATTGTAAAATCCAGAGAACAATGTTTCATCACGTGCTTTCTTATCATCGTATGATTTGTCAACTGTGAGATACATTGATTGGAATAACATGGTACCAAAATTGACACCTTCGACAAGGATTGGCTAAAAGTTTTACATCTGAGATTTAACATGCCCAGACGCTGTTTTAAAAAGAAAGAAACACAGAACCCGTCCGATCTCGCCGCTCCTCAACCAACCCAACCCAGCCGAGTAATCCATTACCAAAAGCAAAGAAGCCCCCTCCAGCCATTATCGTCGAGGGAATTCCTGCCTTGTACAGACAACCTCAAGTTGCCGCCGAACTGCGTCGCCTGTTCCCCAATATCGCATTCAGCAACGTCCGTCGACTCCCCCGAGGAGGCATAGTCATCATATGTGACTACCCAAGAGACTACTCCACGCTCCTTAAGACCTGGCCCTCAGACGCTTTCAATGGATGCCCAATCAACACCCACGTCCCAACGGACAACG